AAAACACACACACTCGCTTACTTGTACGAGGAGCGCACACACACTCGCCTGCTTGTACGAGGAGCGCACACACACTGACTTACTTGTACGAAAAACACACACACTGGCTTACTTGTACGAGGAGCGCACACACTCGCTTACTTGTACGAGGAGCGCACATACACTCGCCTACTTTTACGAGGAGCGCACACACACTGGCTTACTTGTACGAGGAGCACACACACACCGGCCTACTTGTACGAGGAGCACACACACACCGGCTTGCTTGCACGAGGAGCGCACACACTCTGACTTACTTGTACGAGGAGCGCACACACACTGGCTTACTTGTACGAGTNGTAAGTTTTACAGGGCTAGTTCTGCTCTGTAGAAGATTAAGACTTACAGGACTAGTTCTGCTCTGTAGAAGNGGCTAGTTCTGCTCTGTAGAAGGGTAAGACTTACAGGGCTAGTTCTGCTTTGTAGAAGGGTTAGACTTTCATGACTCCCATACAAACATTTGGCTTTGTTGGAAAATTAATTGGAAATCAGAAAGACGTATGAAGTACATTGTCTATGACTGTTAGACACCGATCCTTTAAATTTAATACCTCGATAACCAAACACACGGGGAGTTAGACAAGGGGACACTATAGGGCTACCTGGTTGTTTTGATTCAGGTGCGACTGTGGAATAATCAATATAACAAACAAATATTTTAATAAAAGTTAATCATGCTTACAAAATAAAAAAAGGGAAAAACTTGTGACAAAACTGAAAAGTATGTGTACTGTCATATTATGCATTGCTTTTAATATATAGAAAGTAAATATTCGTAAATAGCTGCAAGAAAATAACGAAGTGTGCATTAATAAACAGCTTTTAATTTTTTCAGAACAAATTGATAAAACCTGTCCTCAATAAAAAAAAAAGTCTTTAAAAGAAGCATTTAAGATTTTTTTTCTTCATATTTGTGATTTTTTCTTCTTAAAAAGTAAATTAACAAGATTCAATTTACGCTTGCTATTGTCATACATTTTGTATCAATATAAGATAGCTTATATACCTATACATTTTACTTCATTTCAAAAACATTTCAATCTGCCACATTCATACATCTTGTTAACGCGTCCCGTCATCTCTGTATTATATAAGGACGTGTACTTTGCCCAAACGTCCTCATTCAGAATCTTCATAAATAACAGGAATCAAAATAGTTACCCTGTCTTTGCATCCTTTCTTGTTATATTATTTAATCCTTAAAACAAAGTTACTGGGGCGGTTGGACAGACGCAGATCTGGGTCTCAAAAGGTAAACCAAACCCCAGTAAGGATTAAATAATATATATGTTTACAGTCTCTGTGATTGACACGTTTAGATATAGCCTAGTCATCATTCCTCTAGTGGAGATAACTCTCATTACCTAACTCTACCGTAATAATTACAACGTACGGAAAAAATCGCCATTTTAGCAGATGATTGTTTGTGTAAATACGTATTGGTTCATTTATTGAGCTGTGGGCACGGGCGCCGCAATGTTGCCCTCTGTAAAAAAAAATAGGGGGGTAACACATGCCAGTTGTAAACCAAAGCCTTCTCGACATTCTTGTACGAGGAGCGCACACACACTCGCCTACTAATACGAGGAGCGCACACACACTCGCCTACCTGTACGAGGAGCGCACACACACTCGCCTACCTGTACGAAGAACACACACCCTGGCTTACTTATACGAGGAGCGCACACACACTCGCGTACCTGTACGAGGAGCGCACACACACTCGCCTACCTGTACGAGGAGCGCACACACACTCGCGTACCTGTACGAGGAGCGCACACACACTCGCCTACCTGTACGAAGAACACACACACTGGCTTACTTGTACGAGGAGCGCACATACACTCGCCTTCTTTTACGAGGAGCGCACACACAATGGCTTACTTGTACGAGGAGCGCACAAACACTGGCTTACTTGTATGAGGAGCGCACAAACACTGGCCTACTTGTATGAGGAGCGCACAAACACTGGCTTACTTGTACGAGGAGCGCACACACACTCGCGTACCTGTACGAGGAGCGCACACACACTCGCCTACTTGTACGAAGAGCGAACACACACTGGCCTACGTGTACGAGAAGCGCACACACACTGGCTTACTTGTACGAGGAGCCCACACACACCGGCCTACTTGTACGAGGAGCACACACACACCGGCTTGCTTGCACGAGGAGCGCACACACTCTGACTTACTTGTACGAGGAGCGCACACACACTGGCTTACTTATACGAGGAGCGCACCCACACTCGCGTACCTGTACGAGGAGCGCACACACACTCGCCTACTGGTACGAAGAGCGCACACACACTGGCCTACTAATACGAGGAGCGCACACACACTCGCCTACCTGTACGAGGAGCGCGCACACACTCGCCTACTTGTACGAGGAACGCACACACACGCGCTTACTTGTTCGAGGAGCGCACACACACTGGCTTACTTGTACGAAAAACACACACACTCGCTTACTTGTACGAGGTTCGCACACACATTCGCCTGCTTGTACGAGGAGCGCACACACACTCGCCTACTTATACGAGGAGCGCACACACACTCGCGTACCTGTACGAGGAGCGCACACACACTCGCCTACTTGTACGAGGAGCGCACACACCCTCACTTACTTGTACGAGGAGCGCACACACACTCGCCTACTTATACGAGGAGCGCACACACACTCGCGTACCTGTACGAGGAGCGCACACACACTCGCCTACCTGTACGAAGAACACACACACTGGCTTACTTGTACGAGGAGCGCACAAACACTGGCTTATATAGAAGCAGCTTATATAATAGCAGCTTATATAATATACATATAAATAAAATTGGAAAGCAATCTTGAGCATTTACAGATTTCTTAGACTAAGAAGGTCTAGCTATTGTAAGTTATTTCCAATGCTATAATGGAAACGTGGAAGGGGCTATATAGGAATACGTCCTTTTGTGTTTTTGTCTAAGATTGTCTAAACAGATTTTGTCCCAATGTACTTATGTAGCTGTTTGGTAATAATATGCACGTATTTCCTATTTAGGAAATACCTATGGAGTAAGCCCGAGAGAAGTATGAACTTGTACGAACATACGACGTGTGTCCCCCAGATACCGGTTATACAACTTATAACTTTCAATTAATGAAAAATTAAAGTCGTTTCCATTTCAGTTGATATTTTATGAAACTTGGAACGATTAGTTCATTTGAGCTCGCAACAGACTCGATAAATTGAACAAAGAAAATCGTAGACTCATTTCATTCCCATATGATAAGGTAATTCCGGTTACCTTATTCAAGCTCTACTCGGTTAGAAATTGCCTCCAGAACTAATATTGATTATGCATGTACATTTAATGTCCCCCTCAATTTCCATAATTTTCCTTTAAATGTTTTAATATTTGTTCTCGTTCCAAAGCGACCCTTTGGTCTCCAGATATGTCTAGCGAGTTGGACTAACCTAGATTGTGTTTCAGGTACATAGCCACCACTCAGTTCCAGCCTACAGACGCCAGGAAGGCCTTTCCGTGTTTTGATGAGCCTGGGATCAAAGCCAGATTCGACATCGTATTGGTCAGACAAAATCCTATGGTATCACTTTCAAATATGCCAATTATCCGCACTGACACTAGGTGAGGTTGATCAGAGTTATGTGCCTTAGTTTGAGGTAAATCGGAACACCTCTGCTATCTCTACCTAATACTACAAGATGTGAGGTGTTCCGATTGCTGTTTGTTGCAAACTAGAGAACATCCCTCTGTGTGTGTTCTGTGTAACTCCACCCAACTAAGAAATATTGCTTTTAGCCGCTAACAAAAATCTGGCCCTAAACGTTCCAGCAGCTGACCTGACACCGTATGAAGGAGCTTTGAAGCCACGGAGTAATCTCCCTTGTGTGATCTCTCCTGATAGCAAGTTTTGTGCCTTTCAGGTACCTGTGCACCACCTTCCTAGCCCCAGTGGCCGCTCGAAATGTCATTCCCTGTTTTGACGAGCCCGCTTTGAAAGCCCGCTTTGACCTTACTATAGTGCGAAAAGGATCTGTAAAAGCCATATCTAATACTCCTCTCAAATATTCAGAACAAAGGTAAGATAGTGACCTTGACCTTAACAGTTTGACCATGACCGAAATTCAATATTTATCTTAACCCTACTTTAATATTCGAAACCGAAGCTGATACGCTAGCACAATACCCTGCTTACCGGAAGCGCAAAGGTCCTGTAAACAAACCCGTTTCCAGCTATTGCATTGGCTCCAATTCAATCTAAAAATCTCCAGAGGTCAAAAGGTCAAGATCATAATTTAATGCTTAAGTTATGTTTGCTTTCTATTTCCACATTTGAATGTTTTTAGTTGGATTTTGAGCCGGAGTATTCTATATGTGTATTTACGTTTCCTTACTTTTAGTTACATGCACAGCCTTATGTATACGTCACCACTCTCCTACCATGCACCAATTACAGGCAGCCGAGACCAACATCTAGCCACGGCTTAAACAATCCCTCAAATTTGAAGACACTTGCTCAATCCTAAGATGTTTGTAGAAAACCTGACCAAGTTTGGTCACAATGTATTGGCGTCACCTTTCTATTCAGATGTAATGCAAATATACCAAAGCAGAGATGTTTGTTTCGCCTGTCGATATGTATGATATTGTAGCCTAACTCTACACTGCATAAACCCGCCTGTCGATATGTATGATATTGTAGCCTTACTCTACACTGCCTAAACCGACCTGTCGATATGTATGATATTGTAGCCTTACTATACACTGCCTAAACCGACGTGTCGAAATGTATGATATTTTAGCTTTACTCTACAATCCCTAACCCCGCCTGTCGTTATGTATGATATTGTCCCCCCATTTTACAGTGCCTCAACCCGCCTGTCGATATGTTTGATATTGTAGCCTTACTAGGCGGTGCCTAAACCCGCCTGTCGAGATGTATGATATTGTAGCATTACTCTCCCCTGCCTAACCCCGCCTGTCGATATGGATGCTATTGTAGCCTTCCTCTGCACTGCCTAAACCCGTCTGTCGATATGTATGCTATTGTAGCCTTCCTCTACACGCCCTAACCCCGCCTGTCGTTATGTATGATATTGTACCTTTCCTCTACAATGCCTAACCCCGCCTGCCGATATGTATGATATGGTAGCCTTACTCTCCACTCCCTAACCCCGCCTGTCGTTATGTATGATATTGTAGCTTTCCTATGCACTGCCTAAACCCGTCTGTCGATATGTATGTTATTGTAGCCTTCCTATGCACTCCCTAAACCCGCATGTCGATATGTATGATTTTGTAGCTTTACTACCCACGGCCAAACCCCGCCTGTAGATATGTATGATATTGAAGCTTTACTCTACAATCCCTAACCCCGCCTGTCGTTATGTATGATATTGTCCCCCCATTTTACAGTGCCTCAACCCGCCTGTCGATATGTATGATATTGTCGCCTTACTCTACACTGCCTAAACCCATCTGTCGATATGTATGATATTGTAGCCTTACTCTACACTGCCTAAACCCGCTTGTCGATATGTATGATATTGTAGCCTTACTCTACACTGCTTAAACCCGCCAGTCGATATGTATGATATTGTAGCCTTATTCTACACTGCTTAAACCCGCCAGTCGATATGTATGATATTGTAGCTTTACTCTACACTGCCTAAACCCGCCTGTCGTTATGTATGATATTGTAGCCTTACTCTACACTGCCTAAACCCGCCTGTCGATGTTGTCGTTGTACTATCGTGTGTGATGCCTATTTTGTAGTTACGCAATACTAGTACTTCCGGATGTCTCTTTATTGTGTTATATAAGGACATTGAGAATCGTCAAACAGTTACTGTTCGTCGTTTGTGACAGTATTGATGAGAACTCCTTCGAGAATAGTTATGCTATGTGACTCATATCTTTGTATCTGTGCGTTGATTTGTGTCGATATGCCGTACATCGTCGGCCGTTCAGGGTCTGGTGAAGACGAGTGGATGTTTAGGATTTATCGCTCTACATCCCCGACTTTTTCGGTGTGGTGAAACATTTTTGTTGCGGTTATTAAATGTAATTAATAGCAAAATTAATCAGTTTCTCGTTGAAAAACATATGACATTCATTTGGCAGAACAATTATCAGTATTAACTAGTGCACTCGTGAAAAACATAACCGTTAACTATCCTTTATATAACTCCTGTAAAGCTTTAACGATTGTCTGCCTCACGTGACCATATTAGTATTGTGTTGATGATGGTGACAGTTTACTCGTGTTACTAATATCATACTTCTGTCGAGGAGTTCGTCCCGTTACAAAGACCTTGTCAGTCATTCACTGCCGGACGGCACCAACACTGCCTCACTAGTAGAAATTGATTTCTTCCTGATTGGGGATAGTTTAACGTGACAAGGGTATCATTATCTCCCTTGATTCAAGACAATTACAGACGATGATCAGTTAGTGTGCCAGTGATTAACGGGCAGGAGTGTGATAATCAGATCTGAAAATAGGTGCTCGAACGGGGGGTAACAATTCCCAGGAGGAACAAGGAGGCCCGGAGGGGTAACGTTACCCAGGTGGATTAAGCTATATAGAATACGTATCTGCGTTGTAGTATATACCTATATAGAATACGTATATGTGCTGTAATACATGTAGCTATGTAGAATACGTATCTTTATCATAATCTGTAAAAGCTATATAGAATACGTATCTGCGTTGTAGTATATACCTATATAAAATACGGAACTGTGCTGTTATATATAATAGCTAAGGTCACAGTACCAAACAGTACCCTAAATGGGATACTTAAGGAAAATCGGCCCGAGAAACTTTCGTGCAATGCAAAGAAGTACTTTATGTATACAGTTTTCATTTGATAATACTTTTATGACAATTTAACTGTTTATGAGCTTTATTGAATGCTGATTATCGTTACATGGACAATTTAAAGATAAGAATAATGACCTAAACAAGACTTTCCTGTTTTACGTGCTGTTCAACGCTATTTATTTGGGTATCATTTTCAAAATTCTATTTTATCAAAACTAAAGCTAGTTTTGGAGAAGAAAGGACTAGGGGCGTTAAGGGTAATTTCCGGCCTCACCGAGGATTTTGAATTAGTTGTTATATTCGTAATCTGGAATAAACGAAGTATTGAAATATGAATTATCAAATTCATTCGACAACTGGTTTAGGAGATATGGCATTACAAAGAAAGACATAAACCCGCATTTTCATAATAAAATGCGTGAATATCGTCTGGTGTGCGCTATTTGGTTGAAAGGAAATTAAGTTAACACTTTTTAATTTTTGAAAGCCTCCGCATGTTTAGAACAAAATAGAATTTGACATGCTTAAACATTGTCAAACCAGTGTTCATTCGTTAATTCGGAAATCGGAACCCTTTTTGACTCTAAAATATTTCAACTATGCATATTTTTCTGCTGATATTGATTGTTTATCCCAAAATATTAGCTAAAATACCGAAGTGTCATAAGGGCCTACGTAACCCGGATAGTATTTCGCGTTCTATTTATAGAACCACGCGTCCGAAATACCAACATGTAATGGAAATGAGAAGTGGATGGTATCTATTTAGGAAAAATTAACAGACATTTTTAGAACCGATGTTTCGATTTTGAAAAATATAGATTAATAACGTGAAAGAGAAAACGTTTGTGTTAAACGTTACATGTTTATGTTACAGAGATGGTGGTTGGTTAGCGGACGTTTTTGAAACAACACCTGCCATGTCGACCTATCTCCTGGCCTTTATCGTATCCGACTTCGAGAAAACCAGTAATATGACGAAAAACAACATACTGGTAAGTGTCATCCAATCATAATCAAGATAGCAAACCCTAATGTTAAATGTGCGTTATCAACATGCGACATAGTGACGTCAGAATACAGTGAAAGGTGAACAATGCATTGGACCGGGAAACAGGAATGGGTGAACGAGTCCTGTCCTTGCAGCCTTCCTAGAACTTCTTGGTCTGTGTAGATATCGGAGGAGGGATGGTAGAGGGAGGGAGGGGGTGCATAGCTAGAACTTCTGGGGCTGTGTAGATATCGGAGGAGGGATGGGAGAGATGGGGGAGGGGGTGCATAGCTAGAACTTCTGGGTCTGTGTAGATATCGGAGGAGGGATGGTAGAGGGAGGGAGGGGGTGCATAGCTAGAACTTCTGGGGCTGTGTAGATATCGGAGGAGGGATGGGAGAGATGGGGGAGGGGGTGCATAGCTAGAACTTCTGGGTCTGTGTAGATATCGGAGGAGGGATGGTAGAGGGAGGGAGGGGGTGCATAGCTGGAATGTCTGGGGCTGTGTAGATATCGGAGGAGGGATGGGAGAGAGAGGGAGGGGGTGCATAGCTAAAATGTCTGGGGCTGTGTAGATATCGGAGGAGGGATGGGAGAGAGAGGGAGGGGGTGCATAGCTAAAATGTCTGGGGCTGTGTAGATATCGGAGGAGGGATGGGAGAGAGGGGGAGGGGTGCATAGCTAAAATGTCTGGGGCTGTGTAGATATCGGAGGAGGGATGGGAGAGAGGGGGAGGGGTGCATAGCTAAAATGTCTGGGGCTGTGTAGATATCGGAGGAGGGATGGGAGAGAGGGGGAGGGGTGCATAGCTAAAATGTCTGGGGCTGTGTAGATATCGGAGGAGGGATGGGAGAGGGAGGGAGGGGTGCATAGCTAAAATGTCTGGGGCTGTGTAGATATCGGAGGAGGGATGGGAGAGGGGGGGAGGGGTGCATAGCTAAAATGTCTGGGGCTGTGTAGATATCGGAGGAGGGATGGGAGAGAGGGGGAGGGGTGCATAGCTAAAATGTCTGGGGCTGTGTAGATATCGGAGGAGGGATGGGAGAGAGGGGGAGGGGTGCATAGCTAAAATGTCTGGGGCTGTGTAGATATCGGAGGAGGGATGGGAGAGAGGGGGAGGGGTGCATAGCTAAAATGTCTGGGGCTGTGTAGATATCGGAGGAGGGATGGGAGAGAGAGGGGGGGGGTGCATAGCTAAAATGTCTGGGGCTGTGTAGATATCGGAGGAGGGATGGGAGAGAGGGGGAGGGGTGCATAGCTAAAATGTCTGGGGCTGTGTAGATATCGGAGGAGGGATGGGAGAGAGGGGGAGGGGTGCATAGCTAAAATGTCTGGGGCTGTGTAGATATCGGAGGAGGGATGGGAGAGAGGGGGAGGGGTGCATAGCTAAAATGTCTGGGGCTGTGTAGATATCGGAGGAGGGATGGGAGAGGGAGGGAGGGGTGCATAGCTAAAATGTCTGGGGCTGTGTAGATATCGGAGGAGGGATGGGAGAGGGGGGGAGGGGTGCATAGCTAAAATGTCTGGGGCTGTGTAGATATCGGAGGAGGGATGGGAGAGAGGGGGAGGGGTGCATAGCTAAAATGTCTGGGGCTGTGTAGATATCGGAGGAGGGATGGGAGAGAGGGGGGGGGGTGCATAGCTAAAATGTCTGGGGCTGTGTAGATATCGGAGGAGGGATGGGAGAGAGGGGGAGGGGTGCATAGCTAAAATGTCTGGGGCTGTGTAGATATCGGAGGAGGGATGGGAGAGAGGGGGAGGGGTGCATAGCTAAAATGTCTGGGGCTGTGTAGATATCGGAGGAGGGATGGGAGAGAGGGGGAGGGGTGCATAGCTAAAATGTCTGGGGCTGTGTAGATATCGGAGGAGGGATGGGAGAGAGGGGGAGGGGTGCATAGCTAAAATGTCTGGGGCTGTGTAGATATCGGAGGAGGGATGGGAGAGAGGGGGAGGGGTGCATAGCTAAAATGTCTGGGGCTGTGTAGATATCGGAGGAGGGATGGGAGAGGGAGGGAGGGGTGCATAGCTAAAATGTCTGGGGCTGTGTAGATATCGGAGGAGGGATGGGAGAGAGAGGGAGGGGTGCATAGCTAAAATGTCTGGGGCTGTGTAGATATCGGAGGAGGGATGGGAGAGGGGGGGAGGGGTGCATAGCTAAAATGTCTGGGGCTGTGTAGATATCGGAGGAGGGATGGGAGAGAGGGGGAGGGGTGCATAGCTAAAATGTCTGGGGCTGTGTAGATATCGGAGGAGGGATGGGAGAGAGGGGGAGGGGTGCATAGCTAAAATGTCTGGGGCTGTGTAGATATCGGAGGAGGGATGGGAGAGAGGGGGAGGGGTGCATAGCTAAAATGTCTGGGGCTGTGTAGATATCGGAGGAGGGATGGGAGAGAGGGGGAGGGGTGCATAGCTAAAATGTCTGGGGCTGTGTAGATATCGGAGGAGGGATGGGAGAGAGAGGGAGGGGGTGCATAGCTAAAATGTCTGGGGCTGTGTAGATATCGGAGGAGGGATGGGAGAGAGGGGGAGGGGTGCATAGCTAAAATGTCTGGGGCTGTGTAGATATCGGAGGAGGGATGGGAGAGAGAGGGAGGGGGTGCAAAGCTAAAAATTGTTCTTCCTTTACATTGTTCTTTATAAAACATTGATTGTATCGAGATAACTCGAGAGTCTTAAACAGTTGTACTTATTTCCGTGTGTCCCCTGGACATCTTCCTAGTGTAGGTTTTCTTTAAAAACAGTTTAAGGACCAAGTAATCAGTGGTGCAGGGGGTCGATAATCCAATAGGAAGACACTAGTCGTGGTCCACTGGGGCTACGAGCACAGTTGCCGAAGAAGCAACGTGTCTGCAAAATAATTAAAAGCACATTCTAATTCCTTAATTATTTAATCGTAAACACCAAAGTGTCTTTTACTATTTATTCCGTTTCCATCTGAGCGTTGAATTAACAGAAGGTCTAGACGGGGCCGCATGGAGCGTGATTAGTTTTGTTTCACACCGTCAGAGCGCACGTGTTCTTTGTAGCGTATTTCCGGTTAACATATCCGTAGTTAAAACTTGGTGATATACCTATGCGGCTAAATTTGACGTCAGAAGCAACTAGATACACAAGAATATGAATACCATTTGAAATATTAGTTCCAACCAAAGACTTTACATCACCTGGTACCGAACATTGTGGTTAATTTCTAGTCCACCACCATGTTGTAAAAACCCTACCACGAAAATGCAAAGTTCTTTACACTGAACATTTGTTGTGTGTTTGTTGTGTGTTTGTTGTGTGTTTGTTGTATATTTTTTTCACAATTTCTGTTGAATATTTAAGATGGCTTCATTAATCTTTCTATCGAATCTCAATGAAATGTACCAGCTTTGAAACTGATAAGGATTAAAATGTCTCATTTATGTACATCAATGTCGTTAGACATTACCAGCGTCATCAGATTCTACAGTGTTAATTAACGTAATGTATCTGTCTTTACAGTACGGAACCTACTCCAGACCGGAGGCCATCAACCAGACATATTATGCTCTTAAAACAGGCACAGAAATATTAACATATTTTGAGGATTATTTTAACATTTCGTTTCCACTTCCTAAACAAGGTAAGTGTTAAACACAACGAACGTGGTACGTGTTACAAACCGTTA